GTAAATGATTTCTGAGAAAATACTGGTTTTCTGAAACCATGCAGTACGTCGTAATAGCAAATGACGTCATCGCGAGATATAGCGAGTGTCACATGGACTTTTTCAAATATCTCGAAAAGCGAGTGTAATAGACGAAAATTGTAAATACGAAAATTGTGCAGAGAAATCTAATATTATCCAGTGTTGGCAACTTTGTGGTCCCTGAGTAATTCTTTACCCGCTTCTGGTTTGTTACACCGACTTTCAAGAATAGACCCTTTATAGACAAGATTGCTTTCGAAAAATCGTCGCTGGGAACTTTCGCAAAATCGATGTAATTTTATTTTGATTACAAACTTTGCTAAATATTAAAATTTTTACAAATAATAGCGATTTCCCATTTTTTCCAAAATTTCGATCGCCCTGTTTGATAGACGAAACCTGAAACTTTCTCTCGACACAGTTTACGATTCTGTCAAAATAAAAAAATCCCATTTTTGACGGTTTTCCGTTTATCGCTAATAATTTATCCACAAAAAATAACATTTTTAGAACCTTTTAGATTTTTTGCCCGTAAATGATACAGCCTGTACCTAATCCAAACAATGTTCGAAATGAAGGTTATAGCTTTGGCTCTCACACGTTTCGTGGTCCATGAATTTTTCCAATAGAGTAAAGGCTTTTCGAGAAAATACATGTTTTCTGAAATCACGCAGTACGTAGTAATAGTACGAGGTTAGCGCTAAAATTTCCCGGCCTGACATAGATGCAGCTCCAGTATCACGATGAAACTTTGTCTTCTTTTAAATATATATCTTAGTAGGCTGCGAAAAAAAATTGAAGTCTTGGGTCAAATAGTTTTTTATTGACAGCATTTTAAACAAGACGTGTCCGAAAAAATGTCGCAAATAACGCAAAATGAGTATAGAGCAGTCATAAAGTTTTTGACAAAAGAAGGGTTAGCACCTAAAATTATTAAAGAAAGGCTGGATGGTGTGTACGGTCAAAGTTTTCCTTAGTATTCTGTATTGAAAGAATGGGCAAAATATTTTCGAATGGAGCAGAAGTCCATTGAAGATGGTTCAAGATCTGGTCGACCAGTGCAGGTCATAACGGAAGATATTGTTGCGATTGTGGAAGAGGTTGTATTGAGTGATCGACGTTTAAAGGAAAGGAAAAAAAAAGAAATCTCACAAATTACTAATCTTTCTGATACAAGTGTTCGTCGAATCCTACATGATCATTTAAGTATGCATAAGGTTAGTGCAAGATGGGTGCCTAAAAACCTTTCGGCTATTCAAAAACAACGCCGCGTCGAGTGTGCGCGGTCTTGTTTGGAACTCTGTGGGTCGGAACCGAAGCCTGTGATAGAAACTATTGTGACGGGAGATGAAACTATGGTTCTCTATTATGACCCTCTGTTGAAAAAAGAATTAATGGAGTGGCGTCGTAAGGGTGAAGCACCTCCAAGAAAATTCAGAGGCTGCCAGTCAACAAAAAAGGTGTTGGCCACGATCTTTTGGGATTGTGAAGGAATTCTTTTGTTAGATTTTAAAGAAACTAATACCACTGTGAATGGTAAATATTACGCAACATTATTACATAAATTCCGAAACTGCATACGCGAAGGCGTGCGTCTTTTGCACGATAATGCACCTCTCCATACTGCTGGTGTTACACAAACTGACATTTTAGAGTGTGGGTTCCAACAGATAGATCATCCTCCCTATAGTGCAAATATGGCCCCCAGCGACTATTATTTTTTTGGATATTTGAAAAAGGACTTATGTGGACGGCGGTTTAACGGAAGTTGAATAAAAGAGGCTGTTTTAGCTCATTTTGCAGACAAACCAAAAGAATATTTTTTTAAAGGGTTTGAGTTGTTAATAAAGATATGTAATAAGTGTATTGAAGGGGAATTATATTGGAAAATAATAAAAAATTGTTACTCTACTTCGTTTCTTTCATATTCAGACTGGAAACTTTTGGCGCTGCCCTCGTAAATGACGTCTTCGCATCTAGATTGAGGGCGAGAAATGGTGATTTTCATGTGGCTTTTTTCAAATATCTCGAACAGCGTATGTGATAGACGAAAACCGTAAAAACAAAAATTGTAGCTCTCGATTTACAGCTAAAAATTTACTATGGGAGAGAAAAATTTTCAGTATTTTTTGGATTTTTCTCGATAATTGAAAAACCCTGTATATAATCGTATAAAATACTTTAAATAAAAGTGATAATCCCGAATTTCCCGAGTATTCGGGCTGAAACATTTTGCCCATCGGTTAAATAGTTTTCCGAGAAAATAATTTTTTCTAAAAGCCAAAATAACCCAAAAAAAAATTACAAATTTTTAAAAAAGTACTTGGTGAAATTTGATTGCACTTAATTTCTAGTGTTCTGCCAAATTTGAAGTCGATAGCTGCAAATTTGACGCACCTACTATATTTTTGAATATAGCACGAATTATGCCGAACACCCCGTACAATATGTGAGAAACTTTTTGCTGACTATGCGAGCTATATGGCTTCTAGTTATAGTAAATTTTCATTATAAGAGAGCCCAATTTTTACTTTTTTGCAAATTATCGACGCACCCTGTACATTTTTAAAAAAATACTTTTTTACCACTACAAATGCGGTTTTGTTTTTTTTTTAATACTTCCCGACGGCCTGCTGCATAGTCTGGACGTCGCACGTCGGGAAAAATGGAGGGAAACAGTTGAGTCGCTTGACTTTAAGAGATCAAGCAGCAAGGCATGGAGCCTCCTTAGAAAACTAGGTGGAGCCAGCAAAACTTGCCGTGGCACCCCAGATATCTCTGCAGATAAGGTTGCATCGCACATTCAGGTGACAACCAGAGCCCCTAGAGACAAGAATCATACAAAAAAGATACGACATGAACTTAGTGCTCTAAAATCGAAGATCGGACCAAATGATCAGTACTCCTCCAGTTTTACGGCCCTCGAAGTCACAGAAGCATTAAGGAGCGTAAAACGCGGAAAGGCACCTGGCCCCGATGGGGTACACCCGGAGTTCCTTCTTCACTGTGGGAAGTATGCCAAAAAATGGCTTGCGCAATTCTACTCAAACATGCTACAATCGGGCCACATACCACAGAAAATGAAGAATTCAAGAATAATAGCACTGCTGAAGCCAGGAAAACCCAGCGACCAACCAAAGAGTTACAGGCCAGTTGCGCTTCTCAGCACTGTATACAAGCTACTAGAGAGGCTCCTGTACAACAGACTGAGCCCAAAAATACTAGAATCTATACCAATCGAACAAGCGGGTTTCAGACCAGGAAGAAGCTGCACAGACCAGGTGCTTTCCCTAACATCTCACATAGAAGCAGGCTACCAAAAACGCCAGAAAACATCGATAACCTTTATAGATTTAAGCTCTGCTTACGATACTGTTTGGAGGCACGGCCTGCTATACAAGCTAATAAAAAAAATTCCATGCAGCCATGCCATTCGTCTCACCGACAATATGCTCGCAGGGAGAACTTTCAATGTTGTAATTGGAGAGAGGACAAGCAGAACAAGAACACTAAACGATGGACTGCCACAGGGCTCAGTTCTCGCCCCACTTCTGTTTAACCTCTACATTTCGGATATGCCAAACACACAATCTACAAAATTTGGATACGCAGATGACTGGGCTTTAGCCGCTCAACACGAGAAGTTCGAGACCACTGAAAAGACTCTTGGCTCCGACTTAAGGTTGATGAGCGACTACTTTCACAAATGGAGAATGCTGCCCAACCCCACTAAAACAGAGGTGTCATGCTTCCACCTTTGTAACCAATCAGCGAAGAGAGAGCTTACCATCAACTTCGAAGGAAAACGCCTCAACCATAACAACCACCCTAAATACTTAGGAGTCACACTGGACAGGACGCTCTCCTACAAGGAACACCTGATAAAGACCGCAAGCAAAATGAGAACAAGGACTAACATCATTCATAAATTGTGTGGTACCACCTGGGGCTCCTCAGCGGACACGCTCCGTATATCGGCAGTCGGTCTTGTCTACTCTGTGGCGGAATACTGCGCACCAGTGTGGATTAACAGCCCGCACACTGAGAGAATCGACACTGTACTGAACGACACAATGCGCATAATCAGCGGCACGATTAAGTCCACACCAATTGCTTGGCTGCCTTTCCTGAGCCACATACTGCCACCTGAAATTCGACGTAAAAACAGCCTTGTTAGGGAGTATCAGAAAATAAACAATAATACAAAGCTACCTATACACAATGAAATAGGCGATCTAGAGCGCAAACGACTGAAGTCGAGGAAACCAGCGCTAATCACCGCTAAAGAGCTGTTGGACTCAAATTTCAACGCAGCGAACGCCTGGCAACAAAGATGGCAGGAACAATGCCCATCGCACTTTCAAACTTTCCTTACTTCAGAGAAGGTTGCTGGATCTGACTTGCCTCGAAAAGTGTGGACTACATTGAACCGAATACGTGCTGGCCATGGCAGATGTGCTGACGCTCTTCATAAATGGGGATGGATAACCTCGCCAGAATGCGACTGCGGGGCCAATAATCAAACAGTGACTCACATAGTGACAGATTGCCCAAACCGTGCCTACCAAGGACAACAGAAGAGGCGATTGATTGTATTAAAAATTTAGACATAAAATTGTAACATCAATATCTATATGCTCTGAGAACATATAATAGCATAGCACAATGTACGCCATACGATAAATAAATACTTATCGCGTTTCATAGCAATGTTCAACAATCAGTCGGAAATCGAAAAAAAAAAAAGATGGAAGCCGGGGTTTGATCGAAACTATTTCGTACTGGTTAGGACTGCTTAAAAAGAGCCAAATCTGAACGCTGTATTTCAAACCGTTCAAAAGTTATAGCCAATTAATGCCAAAACAGAAAAAATTGACAAAAAAATTTTTTTTTCGACGGCGATCATTTCTGCACCCACGGCGAGCCCATAGGACTTACCGTTACCGCGATATAAAATTTGTATACGAGCGCAGATACCTTCTAAAGTTCGATTTTCGAAAGTAACAAGCAATAAGAGCTGATTAATCGTAGTATTTTACTTGTCTGAATATATACACGTTCGTTAAAAAGTTTTCTATGTACAGTATGTCCTAGAAATTTGCTAAAAACTAATCAATTCGTTCGTCATGGATATTCGTGCAACGACGATTGAATGTTTTTGACAGCCGCCTCGTACGAGGGCAGCCCGGTGCTGTCCGACCATTTGGAATCGCCACTCGGTGGTCTGTATTCAGGCACGACGACTTCGTATGGCGGTGGCGGACCTGGAGACGGGCATCGCGACGGATCTTCGCCCGAAGGATAATCTTCCAGGTCGACCAATCTCTATAAAAAAAACGAAATCGAAATGAAATTACGATTACGATTTTTTTTCAGGCTTCGACAAGTTTTTGAGAATATCATGTAACGATAATCAATAATTAAAAAGTCGTGTTCGGTTTATAAGGCAGCAATAACATACTTTGGTACTGTGCGTTCAATTTATCTTGACAGCTTTTGAATTAGCTGTAACTTTTGTTTTTAGAGATATCAAGGTAAAAAATAAAATAAAATGTAGAGTTAGTAGCCAAGTTTATTTCCAAGTGACGTATAAAACACAATACTCTCAATTTTCTGACATTTAAGACTAGATCATATATTTTTTAATAGAACACCCTGTATATTATATATATGTTAAATAGATTATCTTATTCCGATTACAATAATGTAACACACTATATGTAATGTAATATTTTAGCCCATTCGTGTTTGATAAATTTTTTCTAAAATTTCAAAGAGTGCCCTGACTGACAAATAAAAATATGTTTATGTTTGACATATGCATTAGTAAGCAACATTAATTGTTGTTAAAATAATTTTTCGCGAATTTATCATCCGTGAAAGGAGTGATATGCTTCAATTATACTTTCTGAATAATAAAAGTGCAACCACAGCTCATCGTCGGTATATTAGACTTTATCCAGAACGCCGAGCTCCTTCAAGACCGATATCTCCAAGAATGGTAAAGAAATTTGCACAAAACGGTAACGTATTAAATGCTAAAAAGGTGTGCCGGAATCATAATGTTTTAAATGACGAAAATAAGGCTTAGGATTCTATAAAGTACATCCAGTTTCCTCTACGACTAGAATATATGAAGAGACAGGTATTTCTCGGGATCGATCCACTCAGTTTTGAAAGAATATAAATAAAAAGCATTTAAATTTCTTAAAACTCACAAACTAAGTACAGAACAATGTCAAAGGAAGATGCAGTTCTGTTTGGATATTTTAAATAGACATAAACATTTTATGGACTAATGAAAGTTCGATCAATCAATTAATGTTCTGGTGTCATAGATGGGCATATTTTGGGTCCGATATTTATAGACCAAAACTTAACTGTACATCATTATTTGCAACTCTTAGAGCAAATATATAGCTAAATATATCAGCGCTCATTATATGGCAGAAAGACAGTGCCCCTCCTCACAATTTTGTGCAGGTTAAAAATTTTCTTAACATAGAATATCCCAAGGGTTAGGTAGGAAACAGCGGAACTATGGATTGGCCAACCAACAGCCCCGACTTAACTTCAATGGATTTTTTTTCGGGACTCATAAAAAATCACGTGCACAGAACTCCTTGTAATAATGTCGTGGAACTTCGGCAAAGGAATTCAGAGGCAATCAATCAATTAAGAGACAACCCGGAAACGTTACTAAATGCAAAACATGATACAATTAGTGTATATGAGAAATGTTTTCAGGAAAATGGCAGTCAAATAGAGCAATATTTAAAATAGTTAAAGATTTTTTTACGTTACTTAGTGTGTTCTGTCATTTTTAGTGTTTTTGTTCTATTTTAATTTGTAAATAATTATTGTTGTTGCAGGCAGTTATGGCACTCTTTGAATTTATATAATAATTTCTTATTTTTGCCGATTTATCAAAAACGACTGGACTAAAATATAACAAAATAAATAAGAACTAAAAAACCTGAACCTGAAATTGAACTGAGGTGGGTTTTACTTGATGAAAATCGATTTATCAAAATAAATAACAACTAAAAGTTTAGATTTTCACGAAATTATATATTTTTACATCTATGCAAATACATAGATGTAAAAATATATAATTTCGTGAAAATCTGAACTTTTAGTTCTTATTTATTTTGTTAAATGGATTTTCATCAATTAAAAGCCACCTCAGTTGAATTTTTACTAAAATATACAATGTGTTACATCATTGTAATCAGAATAAGATCTATTAAACAAATATGTAATATACAGGGTGTTCCATTTAAAAAGGGTATCATGCAGGCTAATATGTGAGAAAATTGTTGGTTGTTTTATACGTCACTTGGAAAAAAAACTTGACTACTAACCCTACAATTTATTTTGTTATTTACCTTGATAACCCTAATTAAAAAGTTAGAGCCTATTAAAATGTTATCAAGATAAATTGAACGCACGGTACAGTGAGTGAAGAAACAATATTGTAATTATCGTCTTAACGTACTAATAAAAACAAATGAACGCGGTAAACGTACAAAAAAATCAACAATTCCATGTTTTTACATGAAACACCCTGTATATTTGGATCTGCATTAGGGCATCGAACATGCATAGCGTCCTTATTTGTAACAGTAGGCAAAAAAGTTTAATACAAAAGTGGTAGCATGTGGGTCGATTCATATTTTAAAAATATTTCTAAATATACAGGGAGCTCCAACAAAGTGTGACGTCATAAAATGCTGGGTGTCCAGTATAAGATAATCTAAATGGGGATATTGGAAACTGTAACAGATACAGCATCGCTTAAAAGGTAAAGAAGTAGCGTATGTCTATGTCAAAAAATAATCTGGCTTTGTTTCATTTTAAACCGATAGCCTTACGTAGATACAGTATTTTCCTTATTATAGGATGCGGCGATGCTAAAAATGGCCTACTATTTTGCGCAAGGCCGAAGTCAACTTTTGTTTTTCTTATGGGCGCCATATTAAATTTCTACATTTTCCTCTTTAAAAATGCTTTTCAACCATGTGTAACACATTTATGTTTGGTCAAGATAAATCCGGAAAAATAACAAAGATAAGTTTTCAGACTTTGTTATCGCTGCGTTTATCTTCCATTAAGTATAATATACAGTGTGTTCCATTTGATTTTTTCGCAAAAAATAATATTTTTCATTTTGACTCATCCTGTATATACGAACTAATTTGAAAAGATGTAAAGGGTGAATGACTGACTAAACCAGTTTATAAATTTACGTCTATCGCCATTGTTGTCAAAAATAGCCAGTGTTAAATACAATGCATTTTTGACGAGAAAGTGGCTATAAATCCAAGAACATCCAGTATAGACCAAAACAACCTTACGTTTGGTTTGGTTTATTTTTGACATCTTTATAATTTTTTCTTTTCGTTGTAGTAGGCTGTATTTATAAGAATTATTAATTCTGTTGTCAAGGTGGTTGATTGACAGTTGTTTGACATTAGTTTTTGAATTCAGTTCTTCGCGTCTTATCGATTGCCTGTTTAAAATGTCCGACCATTGTTATTCAGGTGGAGCTTCTATGTTTTTTTTTGTAAAAACGTTGTTATTTTTTTACATAAGAATCGTTTATTATTTATCTTGTTGTTAGGATGATATTTTATTTCATTAAAACCCTGAAAGGAAAAACAGTCTTCTAATTTTTATTTAACATCGTTTGCTAACTAAAGACTAGATATTTTATTAAAAAAAAAAGAATTTAATCAGTTTTAACCACGTTTTAAGAGATTTGTGAAATCTGAACTGTCAAGTGTTCGTTTCTTGAATCAACTTCAATTTTTATTACATTGCAGAAAAATCTGTATCCTTTGGACACTCCATGAGGATTATTTTCAAACATTCCTGCGTCTGGTAACGCGACTTATACCCTACAGGTAAATTACGTTTGTGGTAAAGTTTTCCTTCCCTAACATGCCAATCGATAATTCAATCTCTTCATACTTTAGGCACGTCAGTTTCAGCGGCGCCCGTCGCTTTAGTTTTTACGGTTTATCTGTCTCTCCGCTTTTTTCGTAGACGTTAGCTTTCTTTAGAATGGGGTGCGTTTAAATCGCGATGACAGTTGGCAACGTCTCAGATGTCGGGGGGTTCTTTCACTGGGTTATTAGTTTTTATAGGTTTAATGCAACGTGGATTGACGCTCCCTAGAAGTTTTTAGCGTACTTTCCATGACCAAAGGTATTATATCCCATAGGGATTCGGTCTGACAGCTGGATCGCATTCTAAACGCACGTAAGGACGACAAAGAACTTTTTTATGTACAACAGAATGCAAGGAGCTTTTAAAAACATTTTCCTTATCAGTAAGCTGGTTCTAGTACACGCGTGAGGTTTATATTATATATAGATAATTACCATGGTTCCAAACGTTGCTATAAGATGTAAGGTCATCAAACAGATTTAGTTTGGTTTTAATTAGCTATTGCAATTTTTCTATGACCATTTTGAGGACAAAAGAAAATTTCAAAAAGTTCTTCTTCTTCTGCGTTGCGAAGGTTGGCAATCATAAAGGCTAGGCGTGTTCGCGACATTGCCGATCGAAATAGCTGCATTGCATCCGAACCAGTCATGTAGATTTCTCATCCATGAGTGACGTCTTCTTCCTACACTCCTTTTTCCATGAAGATTTCCTTGCAGTATCAATTGTAGTAAACGGTATGTCTCTCCCCTCATGATATGTTCTAGGTATTGCAGTTTGTGTTTTTTATTTTTCTTTCTCTTTTTTTATTCTTCTCATGAGTCCTTTGTTCGTCGCTGTAACGGTCCATTTTATCGCATTCTGCAGTATATCCACATCTCGAATGTTGTTAGTTTTCTCATTTCCAATTTCGTCAGAGTCCATGTCAGCGCACTATAATCCAGCACGGACAACACAAAGCATTTTAAATCCAAACTGAGTTCGCTACAACAAAAGAGTCTTTTCATTTTCATAAGCCTTGTTCTCGCCAATCCTATTCTGGTTTTGATTTCTACAGAACAATCATTATTACTATTTACAATTGTGCCTAAGTATTTATAACTCTCAACTTTTTCTATATATTGATTGTTTATAAGACTTTGGTGGTTGTTTTTCGCTGTTTTGGATATTATCACGACTTTTGTCTTCTTTACGTTTAAGGACAATCCGAACTCCTCGCTTGTGACAGTGTCATCTACGTATCTTAGCACCCCTTTCTCATACTTCTGCGGATTTCTGTGTCTTCTGTGCTACATCCTTCCACTTTCACCATCATCACCATAAAGATATTTATATCTCTGGTATCTAAATTCTTTTCTTTTAGAATTGTTATCAGT